TGATGTTATGTTTCAATTATATTCAGTGTAATGATATTTCAAGATGAAGTCACGCGCAAGCCCCCGGACGTTTCCGCCGTCTGGTTCGGGGGTGTGACACATACTACCTTCCACATATACCCATACTTTCCTCAAGGATCTATTCGACTTCACCAAGTCCCTTTTACCGATACCCTTTCCACTTACCTCATCCTAGGCTTCCCTAGGGCACTCTCCGACCTACCCTCCGCCATCAGCTGCACTAGGAGTCCCCACCACCTCCCCCTAACTAGCTTGCGGATACTGTTACATATCCGTTCCTTAGCTAGTTGAAGATGGCCAGAACTCCCATAGCACAAAGCAAGCAGCATTCGCGCATTAGGTAACCAAATCAGGCATAACCTACACAAGTCATCCTACTGCTGACAAAAACAGTCCTAGCATACAGCTCATACAACATGCATATAAGGCATCCTCCCTAGACCCTTATCCCTAACTAGCATGCAATTCTCATAATCATATATCCGACACACAAGGCATCCTCCTAGATCCTTAGTCCTAACATAACATTGTAAGTAGAGGTATCTTGGGGAAAACTTACTTGAGCCCGACCGGTCGCATGCATCACATACTTCGTCTTTCTTAAAAACCCTCCATTCAGATTTTAGAAAATCATTTTCCTTGTAAAAATCTTGTAGTCCCTCGGTTTGAGTCCAGACACCCCCGAGGGTGTGTCCGAATCCCTCAAACCAGGGCTCTAATACCAACTTGTAACATCCCAAAATTCAAGTCCGAAAATTTCATTTTTGAATTAATAATTTTTAAAACATTTTACCATAACATTGTCAATAAAGCAACACATTACAAAATCATAATATTGTGTCCCAAATCACCACATCAAAATAATGAAAATTAGAGTGCAATCCAAGAAAATCCGATGCGGAATCATGTGTATGTGATGCGATGCTACGTCGTCGGCTCCTTCCCCTTAGACGAAGAGGTACCTGAAACCAAAACAGAAATTATAAGCACAAAGCTTAGTGAGTTCCCCCATCATACCACATACCATACAATATCATCGATATCTTTCAACCGGTAATCATCATCGATATCTTTCAACCGGTAATCATCGTCGGTATCTTTCAACCGGTAACTTCCATCGGTATCTTTCAATCGGTAATCATCATCGATATCTTTCAACCGGTAACCATCATCGGTATCTTGCAACCGGTAACTGGGGACTATTCCACCCCCTACCACTAGCATACAACATCAAGATATAAACATACAATCATGCATATCCGAGTACTGACCTACCGTTCGGTCCTAAGGACCACTGTCAGGGAAACTGATCCTTACTATACACATAACATATCATAGAGATAAATCTCATAACCAAGGTACATAACCAAACCAAGATAATTATCACAAAGACAATCATCTCCTAAATATTCCTCTTTGGTGGGCCGACATTATGGCCTTAGACCCACCCCTACTGGAAGGTAACTCACCTCTTACGAGTAGCTGCTGATAATCTATGCGAGAAACCTCTATCTGCTGCTGCTCCGGAAATCCTTCGGCTATAATCCCCACAAAACACTCAATCAAAATATGATATCTACTCTTAGGGTAAAATGACTATTTTATCCCCAACCAAGTCCAAGTCAAAGTCAACTTCCAGTTGACCCGACTCGTCGAGTTGGGCCGTCAAATCGTCGAGTCCCTACCCTTTACTCGTCCTTATCCATGACTCGACTCATCGAGTTTGACAACGACTCGACGAGTTCCCCTTCCTTACGAACATCAATGAACCTTCATCCGACTCGTTGAGTTGTATGAACAAATTGTCGAGTTCACCTTCATCTGATGAACAAGTCCTGACCTTGAATCGCCGAGTTGTATGAACAACATGTTGAGTTCATCTTCAAACATAAGAAGATTGCCTTGGACTCACCGAGTCTGTTCTAGCACTCGTTGAGTCCCATGAACTCTAGGTCTAAAACTAAGTCTAATGCGTTGGGTCACTCCTTCTGTCCTGCTACAACCCTTCTAACACTCAAATGAGTTCTTTTGACCCTCAACAGATATGGGACTCAAAGCCTTGGACTCGCCGAGTCCTAAGAACGGACTCGCCGAGTCGATAACATCCATACCATAAATCCTCAATTTCTGATGTACAACACTTGTCCAAATGATAGATCCAAGCCCCTAAGCTCGATCTAGCACGTAAAGTTACGAACTTTACGTGCATGCATGGGACTTTTGAGCCAAAAAGGCTCTAAAATGGCTCTTTTGTTGCATGGGGCCTTCCTTGGGTGCAAAAGCAACCCAAATCTGCCTTGTGATTCTTCCCAAGTGCTAGATCCGAAGTCTTGACCCCCAACCATGTTTGCAAATCATGGTTGGTCACCTCATATGGCTTAATAGCCCTAAATCTTCCCCAAAAAGGGATCTAACAAACAAGCAAGCAAGGTACAAACTTTATACCTTTCAAATACTGCAAATGATGAACCAAACTCGAATCCTTCAGTCTCCTCTTGATCCTTCTATGATCTTCTTTCTTCCTTGAGGTCAAACCCCACAAAAATCACTCAAAATCCTTAGTTCTTGCACCAAAACACTTAGGGTTTGCTATGGAGAGCCTTTGGGAGCATTAGGGACGAGTGGTGGCTGAAAGAGATGATTAAATAGGGTGCAAACCCTCATATTAGGGTTTTATCCAGTCAGAGCCTACTCGTTGAGTTTGGCCGCCGACTCGACGAGTCCATCACTTAAGTCTCGTGTCCAAACCCACTCCTACCCGACGAGTCGGGCCTTCAACTCGCCGAGTCCCAGGCCAAAAATGCAAAATACAACAAAATAAATTACATACCAGGAACCGAGTGCTACATCAAGGTTGATGCTTTTTACCTCAAATAAGCTGGAAATGTAACCAATACTCTGGATCGAATACCTTCTTCTTGAACCTCTAATCTTTTTCTTCCTTCTCCAAGCTTCAAGTCATAAAAATGGCACCAAAATTGCCCAAGAACACTCACAATTGATTAGGATTTCAAGAATGGGGTCTGAGGGTGATGAAGGCTGGAGTGGAAGACACTTAATGTGTTTAAATAGGGTGCAAACCCTTAAATTTAAGGTTTCACCCAGACAAGCCTACTCGTCGAGTCGGGGCTTCCGACTCTGCGAATAGACACTTCCACCTGCGTCCTAAAGCTCGCATCTACTTGACGAGTTGGGCCTCCATGTCGAGTCCCAGAGTAAAAATGCAAAGACTTAAATTAAAAATACATACTGGAAACTTGGCATTACATCCATAGTTTAATGCAGTCAATTCATATTTTTAAACACAAAAATCACAGTTTAATATAAAAAATCGCAGTTTAATATAGTCAATTTCACAATTTAAATAAATATTTACAGCTTAGTACAGTTAATTTAAAGTTTAAAATACAAAAATCATAGCTTAATACGTAAAATTCACAGTTTATTAAAACAAATTTATAGTTTAATACAAAAAATATAAATTCACAACAATAATATCAATTTAAAACTCTTAATACAAACAATTCACAGTTTAATATATAAAATTCACAGCTTAATATAATAAACCCACAATTTAAGACAAAAAAATTTATATTTACAGTCATATTTTCAAATTAAAACTTATATTTAGATGATAGTATATGAAAACATTTATATGTATTAAATTGTGAATTTAATATATTAAGTCGTGAATAAAATTCATAGCATAATACACGATTCACAGTTTATTATACAAAATTCATCAAATACATTGTGTGCACCACATAAATTCACAGTTTAATAAAGCTTTTCAAAACTCTTATTAACAGTTTAATAATCAATTTAGGACTCTCATTCATTGTATTTATAACATAAAAACATGTTAATTCACGCATTCATAGTAACTAATTTAAATAGAACTAAACAATAGTTGAAGCATTAAAACATCATAGTTAAAAGCTTTAAAAAATCAAAATCCATATTATTTGAGAATACACTGACATAATGACACACATTTTAAATTCAATTCACAGCTTAACAACAATAAAACATAAAGTACATAAAAACTTAACACAAACATTATAAAAAAACATAATAAACATGGATTAACAACTTAATGATAGAAAAAAACTATGTTTAACAAAAGTAAACAACAAATGAGAGATTAGAACATTAAATTCACAACTTAACATAAAGAAAAAAAAATTAAACAAAAATCAACATACGTGATGCAAATATGGTGTTGTTTCACTAAAGATCAGAGAGAAAAAGATGGAGCTGAGTTGGCGATGCTACACTGGAGCGGCAAGGTACTAGTTGTGGTGGCAGTTGACATCGATCTCAGATCTAGTCCGTCAATCTCATCAGAAGTCGTAGATCTAAATATATAAATCATAGATGCATAAGCGAAAATCATAGATCTGTTGTCAGAAATCATAGATCTAACGTCGGATATCATAGATCTGGACTGAAGTGTTTCAGATCTGATGAAAACAAAGGATTTTGGAGGTTGAAGACATACATCTATGGTTGGTAGAGGTGGTGGTGGACCAAATCTAAACAGATTTGGTGGTCTTTCATAGAGATTGAGAGAAAAAAAGATGGAGGCGAGATAAAGATGTATCATCAAAGCTCACATATATGAACATAGTGGTGATAATAGTGAAACTTTGAGAATATTGAAAGATACCTTTTATAGCGTCAAATTTCAAGGAATGCTAACCGGATTTTTCTTAAATTTGGCCAAACTTTTAGGAAAAAAAAATGTAAAGAAAAATTGCTTCTTTTTAGTTTTTTTTAATATAATATTAATATAAATTAATATATGATAAATACTTTTATCATTAGATATAATTAAATAATTAATAATATATATTTGGTTTTTCACTCGATTTGATCATGCAAACCAAATAGTGAAGAATTAATTTTAAAGTTTGTTTTGGTTTTGTTTTTGGTTTACTTTGAGTTTATTTGAAACAAATATTAAACAAGTTGTATAAAATTAATGAATGCGTAGCTGCAGGCCACCGTGCCACCTCCCTCCTGTTTGGATGTCTTGGGGCCTTTGTTCCACGCCACGAATCACACACTTCCTCCATGCAAAACGAGAAGACACCCTACAATCCCCAAGTCCCAACCAATTTCTCCATTGGGCATTTCGTCGAACACGTAATAGGACTCATATTAGGCAGCAAAGCAAACCAAATCCTCGCGATTTCCTGCAACCTTCGTAAAACAACTCAATTCAACGGTGTTTAACAATCTTATACCATCTCCGTATGTACGATTGAAAGTAATAATTCGGGAACGGCGAGCTCGTCTCCGAGGCAGCGGTTGTCGGCGTCGATGAGTGCATCATCATCATCATCAAGTGAGATTAATTTTCAAAATTCTTCGTCAATTCAAACGAATTCGATGGCTTCTCCTTCGAATTTCAATATGGGTTTCTCGGAAAGGGCGTTATCAGCAGCCGGGGCCGCGTTTTTGTCCGCCATCATAGTCAACCCCCTCGATGTCGCCAAGGTACTATTTTTTAGATTTCCCTGCAATTCGTTGGGGTTTCTGTATTTTTTTTTTTTTTTGAAGGAATCATGTATAATGGATGCTACCAAGCACCTTCATTTTGAAATTGCAGGCCAAATTCATGGTTTTATGTGTCCTTAAATTTTACAGACAAGGTTGCAAGCTCAGGCTGCTGGTGTTCCTTTTCAGAATCTTAGCCACACATGCTCCTTCGGTACTAATACGGTGCGCTAATCTTTCATGTTTTCATGGTTTGTTTTTACTTGTAATAGGAATCTCTTGTTATATGTCGTCTTTTTGATGTGGATCTATTGTGTTGTGGTCGACCTCTTTCGCTGAATTAAAATTAAAAAATAAACCCATTAAAATATGCAAACTTTTCTTCTCTTTTTTGTGTAAGACATTAAATGCAAAGGAATCTATGGTGGAAAATCAAAATCTGTCCATGGGATTTTTCCATTACCCATTTGTGTTGATTTTTTACAACTTCAGTTATTCTCCAGATGTTACCAGATACAAGATGTTTTCCTTCATGCTACCGATCAATTCTTGGTGAACCATCATGTTCTCCATATAAAGGCACTCTAGATGTCTTCTACAAAGTTATACGCCAGGTCAGCAAATTTCACACATTTTTTTTTTCTCTATAAAAAAATAATTATATTTTCTGAAATTGGAGTTGATTTCGGCAGGAAGGATTTGGCAGACTTTGGAGGGGTACAACTGCAAGTTTAGCATTATCTGTCCCCACAGTAAGTCATTACATTTTATTTACTAATTCAAGTCTATGCTTTTTTTTTTTTGTCGAAATTTCATAAAAAACACGATACTTTGGGTTTCTTTTGGTAAAAAAAAAAAAAAAAAACTTAAACTACAGTGTTTTTTATGAGATTTGGACTTAGGGTTTTTATTTATTTATATAATAATTTGTGACAATGATTGTTGGCAGGTGGGCATCTACTTACCTTGTTATGACATTTTGTGCAATTTTATGGAAGAATATTCATCACAAAATGTAGCAAGCATGACTCCTTATGTCCCACTAGTTGCGGGTTCTGTTGCTCGTTCACTTGCTTGTATTACTTGTTATCCTATTGAACTTGCAAGAACCCGTATGCAGGTAATATAAGTATATATACATAATTAATAAATTTTAAATATTTATTTTAGTAAATAATTGAAATTTGTGATGTGATAGGCGTTTAAAGATACCCGTCATGGTAAAAAGCCTCCAGGCGTGTTGAAAACACTCGATGGGGTAATATCCACAAACAGAACCACGGGTACCCTTGGAAGCTGTAAGTGGATATGTGTGTGTATGGAGGTGGTGGCATAATAGTAAATTTGCCGATGTTTGGTTAAAAAATTTGTTTCTCACATCATCTCTATGTGTGTATTATATTTATATGTTTATATATAAATATATACATATATATATATTTTTTTTTTATCAATTTGGCAGCATTACGTAAGTTTAGATTCTTGTGGACTGGGCTTGGGGCCCAATTAGCACGTGATGTTCCATTTTCTGCAATTTGTTGGGCTACTCTTGAACCTGTGAGACTTACAAAATAAAGTTAATCCCATTTTAGTTGAAAGTTAAATGAAACCATTATCTCTTGTGTTTTTGTTACAGGTGAGGAGACAAATATTTGCCATGTCAGCAGGTGACGTGTCAAGTCCTGTGACTGTTGTTGGTGCAAATTTTTGTGGTGGGTTTGTTGCAGGATGCCTTGCTGGCGCATGTACATGTCCTTTAGACGTTGCCAAAACCCGGCGTCAAATAGAGGTAGTCTCTAAAAATTTATGATGAAAATGTATATTAAATGCCAACAAGTTTGATTTAAAATGTAAATTGGTTTTAGGGGTATTATGGTAAAAATATGTTTTTGTTGTCAATTTCAGAAAGATCAAATACGAGCGATGAAAATGACCACAAGGCAAACATTGATTGAAATATGGAGGTAAGCATCTTCAACACCAATTTTTATTTTTCTAGAAAAAACACCTACGTTTTCAAAAATGTCCATAGTGGCTACTTTAACTTTTATCAAGAAACAATATATTTAATATATCAAAATTTATAATATTTTCCTCTAATATATCAATTAACCACAAGTGTGATGGAATGGAACAGAGATGGAGGAATGAAGGGACTATTCATGGGAGTTGGGCCACGTGTTGCACGTGCAGGCCCATCAGTGGGTATTGTAGTATCCTTTTATGAAGTTGTTAAGTATGTTTTACACAACAGAAAATATCAGACAAAGAACTAGAGAACTTGTTATCAATTTTTTAACAGATGAAAAAAAAAATGTTGCAAAATGCCAAAATCCATGGCACGTTACCTATTTTATTTTGTTCAAAACTGTAATTATGCACGAACTCATGTCTAATCTTTTTTTTTTCTATTCATTATTAATTTTGTCGACCATGTTTCCATTTACACGATGATATTAAATTTAATTAAATGGTTTGAGCATAATTTTGAAGATATTGTTTGAACGTGTTTTTGTTGCTTGAAGTTGTAACAAGTTTATAGTTATACATTTTTAAAAGTAATTATGTGATATTGAATGATTAAGTCTCAATAAAAGTGTAATGAAATAGTGTTTAAGTGTGCTTTTGTTGATTGAAAGTTTAACAATCTTGTGGTTGTTTCCAAGCGTTTGATGCTTTTGATTAATTAAGGGATTAATATATAATGTCATATAATGAAGAACAAAGTCTCGTACTTTTACTCGTTTTTTCTTGTGTAATAGCTATTGAAAATTTCATTGTTGGGTCTCAAATGGGTACTATAAGTTTTCTTGTGTAACAATTCATCCAAAATATCAACTCATTTTGCATGTTGTAACTAAATGGATCGAGAAACCATCAACAAATTAAGGAAAAGTCGTTTTGATTGGATCCATATATAACACATTTTTTAAATCTTTCTATATATCTATATTAATTTGTCACTTTTCACAAAACGAAAGGGGTATCCCGTTTACCTCTTATGCCACATTTAATTGGTCTAATCGCTTATTTGTTTATTATAATTCATTTTCGTTTTGTCAAAAGTGATTATTTAATCCCGACAAAACCCATTATATGCCCCATAAAACAACAAAAATAATTTATGGACTGATTAGACCAATTCCAAAAACATTGTAAAGCTAACATGTCATTTCCGCTCATAAAAGTAAACTTTAAAAAATCCAATTTATATATTATTTTTTTGTTGATGTTTAAAAACATTTATTTTATATTGGATAGAAAACTAAATTTAGAATCACCCCTATTAAACCATTTAACAATTTTTGCTTAGTTATATAATAACAATATTGCTTTTACAATGTCCATGCAAGTTTTGCTCACTATATAATTAAGCCTAACATTAAACTATAAAACCCATTAGAAATTTCGATTACACACACACCTACAAAGTAACAATCAACAAAACAACTTTCAAAAATTCGTGGAAAGTTCTTATAAAATTGAAGTAAAAAAAAAAAATCAATCAATTCATAAATCTCCTAAAACCCATAAAACAAAACCAAACCTAAAACCAAAACTCTTTTCCATGAGAAAGACGAAGCTTGTATCAATGGTGCAGATGATTCCAAAACATCAGTTTGACTTTGTTGTGCTGCTCCCCAATATAATAGTGGTACTATGACACCCATGATTTTCTCTTCTTCCACTTCGGTGTGTTCTTGCTTGATCGATTTGCTCTCTTCATCGATTGAAAACGATGGACCTAAATAATAATGATCGATGATGATGTTATAATTAGCCAAAAACAAATCGATTCCACCACAACATGAATCATGGAAACAGAGCTTAAATCAGATCCAGATATACACAACAACACGATGATCCAATCATTAAAAGATATGATTATCAAGCGAAAACAGAGAAAGAATATGAATGTTTACCATTGCTTGAAGGAGCCGACACCGGTGACAGCAATCGAGCTCCGGCGAATGATGGAAATCCGGCTACTGACATGGCGAGCATTGCTGCGATTAGAAAGCCCCTAGTTGCACCCATTGTTGGAATAGAAGTTACGACTGTAAGGTGTTGTTTGTTTTTTCTGAGGCAAAATGTCTGCAGTCTGCGGACCACATCTGTAGACCTCTGCAGTAGAAGAGGTAGACCAAACGTCTGCAGTCTGAAAAAAGAAGACTGTTTGTTTTTTTAACATCTGCGGGCTATTAAAATAAACTGAAATCTAAATAAACTGATTTTTTAAAACTTCAAAGCGAGTTTTTTATATATTTTTACGACTTTATCTTCTCTACTAATAAAACAGTACTGAAAACGCCACTTGGCAGTCCCTTAGCCTCTCCACCTTACGTTTTCCCGCTCATATATTATAAGTGAAGTTCCCACTTTGCCCTTCTGTTCGAAAACATTTTCTACATCAGCAAACATGAATTATGAATAAGTAAATAATAAGTAAATAAGTAAATATGTAAATCAAGAAGTAAATCAGGAAATTTAAAATTGATTTCTGTCGAATATGCAATATCCATCCCAAAAAATCAGCTAATCAATTTAAATTCCATTATCAGCTAATCAATTTAAATTCCATATAGTGTCAATACCTAAAAATCAAGCAATCAGTTTACGCATAGATGATATATTTCAATACAACTTGAAAAGTCAATACGATTCCTGTTAACGTGATTTATTCAATACGATTTCAGAGATCACATATTCATCGTTAGGTTACATTTCAGAGGTGACATATTCATCATCAGGTCAGCAAAACTACACTGTTCTTTACCTTTTCTGTTTCATCAGTTTTATATTTTGTTTTTTTCCCTGTTATGTATAAGAGAAAAGTTTTTGATACATATGTTTACAAGTAAAAAAACATCGATTCTTTAGTGTAAAAGATAAAAATCGCATAATCATGTTCACAAGTACAAAAAACATTGATTCTTTAGTGTAAAAAAAGGGAAACACGTGTTATATTTTATAAAAAAAATGATCTTAATGTTATGTTAACATCATGTGAAAAGTAGATATCAGTAGTTTTCTATTCAAGTTTTAAAATCATCAGTTTTCTCACAAATACTTTAATAATAATCAAAATCATTTTTCTCACAAATACTTTAAGAATACAGACAGGTAGGTAATTAGAACAAATATATGTTTTCTTTATACATTATTAGTAAAATGGCAATTTACTTTCTTTTTGGCGAATTTTTTTATAATCTAAACAATAAATTTCTCAAGGTTTTAGTTTTTAAAATATATTTCTCAAATATTTTGTTTTAATTTATAACAACTAACTAAATATTTTTTTAGGATTCTTTTTCACAGACCGGTGAAAATTTAACTCCATGTGCTAGGGACAAGTCAACTGCAACAAGTCCTATAAAATTCATTTCTACACCAATTGAGTTGAAAAGAAACCTTGCTACATGCATAGATATTGATGAAATGGAGAATTTTTCTACTTCTAAAAATCCTAGACTGTCACCACCAGATGAACAACCAACTCCTCTTTTGGTACCCAAGAAAGAAAAGTAAATGCATTTTACTTCGACAAACAATCTTACTTCGTGTTTAATTTTGATTTCGCATCATAGACTCCTAAGCCGTTTACGTTTTTATCTTTCTTGGTTTTGAATTTTTTTTTTGGGATTTCATGGTTGTCATTTTTGTTTCTTGAAAGTACATTCGGACCATTGGGTTTTTTTGTAGTCCTATAATTTGGTTTGCCATGTTATTTTGTTTTTCCTACAACTTATTTTAAACTACATTGCTTTATTCCCACAAAATCTTGAAGAATTACATTCATATGTGTAATTATGCAGTTACTTATATGTTTCATTTTACATATCAATTTATTTGACATACCACTTTATTTTACCTAAATATACTTCTGTATTTACACTATCTCTGTAATTAACTAACTTATTTACCCCTAATCAACTTAAACACATAATAACACGTGAACTGCATTTGACTCCAATATTGAACAAATCACATTTCACAGTCCTTCTTGACTTCGCATTTTTCTTCACGAATCGTCCCTCAATCAATAACCCAATTAACCCAATTGCTAATCGAAAATCAAAACTTATCTGTTTTCATATGCGAACCCAACTGATTGGCTTTTCAAAATCAAATTCGCAACTCCAAATCGTTCGATTATTCGCCCCAATTCCAAAATCAAATAACAGATCCTTCGTATGATTCATTTAATAACCAAGGCTTCTTTTACTTCAAAATGACCATATTGCCCCTAACTTGATAAGTATTTCATATATCGCAATTAACAATTAAGACAAATCAATCAATCAATCAATTTGTATAAGAAAAATGCGAAATTCTTAGCTTTCTTCCCCAATTCGCATTCTACTGTAAAATTCACATTCTTATTCACCCTCTTTCTTCGCATGTTCCAGTCATTTTTTTTTAGTTCATTCGCATTTGAGTTGTTTGTCTCACCAAATACGAAATGAATATTAACCATAATCACCTTCGTATCTTTAACCCCAATCCATACAACCTCATATGCGAAACCCAATTTTGATTTGTATTACCAAATGCGAACATTTTTGCTTTTACACGTGAACTGCATTTGACTCCAATATTGAACAAATCACATTTCACAGTCCTTCTTGACTTCGCATTTTTCTTCACGAATCGTCCCTCAATCAATAACCCAATTGCTAATCGAAAATCAAAACTTATCTGTTTTCATATGCGAACCCAACTGATTGGCTTTTCAAAATCAAATTCGCAACTCCAAATCGTTCGATTATTCGCCCCAATTCCAAAATCAAATAACAGATCCTTCGTATGATTCATTTAATAACCAAGGCTTCTTTTACTTCAAAATGACCATATTGCCCCTAACTTGATAAGTATTTCATATATCGCAATTAACAATTAAGACAAATCAATCAATCAATCAATTTGTATAAGAAAAATGCGAAATTCTTAGCTTTCTTCCCCAATTCGCATTCTACTGTAAAATTCACATTCTTCATTCACCCTCTTTCTTCGCATGTTCCAGTCATTTTTTTTTTTTAGTTCATTCGCATTTGAGTTGTTTGTCTCACCAAATACGAAATGAATATTAACCATAATCACCTTCGTATCTTTAACCCCAATCCATACAACCTCATATGCGAAACCCATTTTTGATTTGTATTACCAAATGCGAACATTTTTGCTTTTACACGTGAACTGCATTTGACTACAATATTGAACAAATCACATTTCACAGTCCTTCTTGACTTCGCATTTTTCTTCACGAATCGTCCCTCAATCAATAAACCAACCAATTAACCCAATTGCTAATCCAAAATCAAAACTTATTTGTTTTATATGCGAACCCAACTGATTGGCTTTTCAAAATCAAATTCGCAACTCCAAATGGTTCGATTATTCGCCCCAATTCCAAATCAAATAACAGATCCTTCGTATGATTCATTTAATAACCAAGGCTTCTTTTACTTCAAAATGACCATATTGCCCCTAACTTGATAAGTATTTCATATATCGCAATTAACAATTAAGACAAATCAATCAATCAATCAATTTGTATAAGAAAAATGCGAAGTAGACAAAACATTGTTAATGCTTCGTTAAGTTCTTCATATTTATGGCAACATTGCAAGATCCATAAATTAACAAAAAAACATGAGACTAAGTGTTGGAAGGGATCAATCTGATATAGAAAAAATCGGAGATTTTGCAAATTGGTTGTTGGATATAGGAGAAGGCAAACTTGGTGGTATCAACGATGGAGAAACGGTTATTGATATTCCAGATGATATTCTCATTAATGATGCACATGATCCTATAGGTTCATTAATCGAGTTTGTATATCCTTCGATTTTGGAAAAGTACAACAATACAAGCTATTTTCAAGAAAAAGCAATACTTGCTCCAAAGAACGAAGTGGTTCAAGAAATAAACGATCGTTTGCTATTGAAATTTCCAGGAGATGAGGTTGAATACTTAAGTTCAGATAGTATATGCCAATCTGAATTTCTCCATGATCAATTTGATGCAAATTTATATTCACCTGATGTTTTAAATGGTCTGAAAGTATCGGGTTTACCAAACCATAAGTTAGTTTTAAAAATCGGTGTTCCAGTTATGTTGCTGAGAAATATTGATCAGAAAAACGGCTTGTGTAATGGAACAAGACGCCAGGTGATTTCATTGGGCAAACGTGTTATTGAGGCACGTATCATATCTGGAACTAATATTGGAAACCACACTTTTATTCCAAGAATGTCTCTAACTCCATCAGAAAAGAAAATTCCATTCAAATTTCGAAGAAGACAGTTTCCATTGGCTGTATGTTTTGCAATGAACATTAATAAGAGTCAGGGACAGTCATTATCCAAGGTTGGTTTGTTTCTCAAACATCCCGTGTTTTCACATGGCCAATTGTATGTTGCTTTATCTAGAGTCCAAAGTAGGGACGGATTAAAATTGTTAATTTTAGATAAGGATGGTAGTCTCACAAATAAAACTTCCAATGTCGTTTATAAGGAAGTTTTTGGGAATTTATAAACAATGCTTTTCTACCATCTTTTATTTACTTTTCTACCATCTTTTATTTACTTTTCTTGTATCGTACTTCATCTATCATATTAATTAATTAATTTTTACAACTTTATTGTATTTGACTTATTCATATTAATGCTAATATCACTATTCTTCATTTTTTCTAAACTTTCATATCTTTTTTTTGTTACAAATTAAAAACTATAATTATATTTCAATTTATCACCCGTGGATTTCCACGGGTTTAAACCTAGTTATAAATATATAACGAATCTAGATCAATTTTTATGTATTATTATATAAAAAATAAAAATAAAAATGGTATTAATTCATATACATATTTGATAAAAACCAACAACTTTGATTGCAAAGTTATAACTAAACATTATAATTAGTGATCAAAGAATTTGATACATAAATAGATGGAAATAAACTTCGATTTTTTCAAATAAATCTATTAAAAACGTACGATAAATATTTTCTCGAGAAATTGATGATACTCTATTAAATAAAGTTTTACAAAATTTTGGCAAAAAAATATAAGAATATATTATGATTTTTTTTCATATTTATATAAACAACTTCAACGACTATTATTATAATAAATTTTTATTTATAAATTTGTTAAAAATATCATGTTTGTATCGTCAAATGTTTTTTTTTAAGTTTTGTAATTTTTTTTTCATATTGTTTATCATTAATAAAGTTGGAAAAAATATAAATTAAAAAAAAAACTTAAAAAAATAAAGATATATATGTTTTTTTAAGCTAGAAGATGTCTGAAAATGTTAGAAGACTCTGGTCCACATCTGCGCCAAAAAGAGGGCGCGCAGACATTTTTAGGTCTGCAGTCTTCAAAAAAACAAACAGTCTGCGAAGACTAATGTCTGCCCGTGGTCTACGCGGCGCAGACAGAAGACGTCTCGCAGATCTGCAGACAAAAAACAAACACTACCAGTGCTTTATCGAAGTCATGATTGGTATTTATAATCTATCTTGCCCCCATATCTCGGCACTATCCCTAAATATTTAGTGTCATAATCCAAATAGGTTTCGTTTAATATAATCAGCTTTCAAAATTTTGGTGTACTTTTTTTTTTATCCCAAACTCTTTTTGGATAAAACTTCTCTTCATTCATGTAATACAATTCCCTCGAGTTTCTTATAAAAACGTGTTAAAAGATAGTTTGTTCAATTTGTATAGGATTGTTATACACGTCACATTTTTTAAATTCGGAAGGATATCTACATGTCTATTAATAGATTATTAGGAAAGATCGAGTTCTTTTTAAATTTCTAGTTAAATATGAAGTTTTCTTAAAATTAATGGTTTGTGTATTTATTTATTTTTTTTTATCATGACTTCTTCAACTTTTAACATTTGAGTTAGGGATATTCATTAACTTTTGGTAACTATCGGTAATGATGACATTGGGGTGTAAGAATGGTATGGTCGTAGAAGTCTTGGTTCAAAATTTTCGTTTAATATTATATTACTAAAGAGAAATTAAATATCCTCCTACCATTTCTTTCTATTTTTCCTCCTATCATAGCAAATGTTGACAAGTAGATTAAATGATTATTAATTTCATTAAATGTCTAATTAAAAATGATACATGTCAACATTTGATATGTCAACATTTGATATGGTAGGAGGAAAAGTAAGAACAAATGGTAGGAGGATATTTAATTTCTCATTACTAAAAAATCATAACATAATAAGACAAAAACTATAAAATATTAGTACAATTATAGTAATATGATACCAATGTCATTTATATTTGTTAGGCTAAAGAATGTGGTGATGTTTTTGTCAATAGTAAAACTATGTCACATAGGCACCACATCAACTTTTATATTTTTTATAGTTTTTACCTATAGACTACGATGTAGTGACCTATGAACTTTTTTTTTTTTAATTTCAATAAAAAAATAAGAGCTTTTTAAATAAAAATCATACTAAAATTAAAAATTACATTTTAGAAATCCTAAAAAAA